GTGAGCTCCTGCCGTTCAGGCGCGCGTGCGAGGTCTTCTTCGCGTCACTCTGGGGGAGCGTCGTCTCGCACCCGACAGCGCCGGCTCCAGTGCCGCGGAGGCCGTACTCGGGCCACAACCCTACGGTGCGGAAGTCAGCAGCGAGCGCCGTTAGCCGCGCGTCTCACCGCACCACCGTCGGGTGATCGGCGATGTCACGTGGCCGCCCGGTGTGACGCGCTTTTGATTGCAATCTGTGTCCTGCGGGCAGAGCCTGCGAGCTGGCAGCACCCTGTCGTCTTACGCCCCCATCATACGTGTACGGACAGTGCACGAAAGAGGAGGCAGGGTTTACGTTTAGTGGGGATTAGGGGCGCACCCTCTAGCCGGCGCGCTCTCTACACGCGACCAGATTCTTGAGGAGTTCGCTGTCGGCGAGCTCGCATCGGTCGGTACCCTCCATCCGTCCATCCATGAACGGCGGAGCTATTCTCGCGTCCACACCACACCTGGCCTCTGTGCTCTGAAAATTCTTTTATATTTTATATATGTAGGTGCCGGCGCCCAGGGACGTGCTTTCCCGCCGCCTCGGCCACTCTCTTTAGGTTCGCCATCGGCACGAAGACGTGATGACCTCGGGGACCCGTGTTTACTTTAAGGCCCTTGCCCTGCGACCGCGCACCCCCCAGGGCTAGGGCTCTCTAGCCCGTAACCCGATACCGATCATCCGGCCCGCTGGGTGCGCTCCTTAGCTCCCCGGCCCTGGATGTGAGGTTACTGACTGCACTCCAAGTGCTCCAAGTGCTCCTTCCCGGGCATGGCCTTTATACGGTTCGTGAAGGGTCGGTGCGTGTCGTGCCTCCCCCCGACCTCGGGTATTCCAATCCGTTCTCCAATGGAACCGCCACTTGGCATTCATACGCTGTTCTCGCCGAGTAGTGTCTATATTCTTTTTTTTGCGCTTGTCCAAAATATGGTCTAGCAGTTTCTCTGCTTCTCTCGCCTTTCTGCGTAACTCCGCTCTCCTCTCCGCGTATTTTGGTCCCTCGAGTTTATCGAGCATTCCTCGCGCAAGGACCACATTTCTGACTCCCACTGCGATCAATCCCGCCCTGTCATGTCTTTGCTCAGGTCCACTCTCGTTTCGAGCACTTGTACCTCAACTGTCAGTGTTGGCACTGGGGTTCCCTTCGGGTATATCGTGAAGCTGACGGCGGGATTTCCACTGGTGTTTCGTCCTCCTCGGGGTCGTCTTCCCCGGCTTCCTTGCGTTCGGCGTGGCTTACCCTCCATGCCGTGAACAGGCGCTTTATCCACTCTATACCTAACCTAACCTAACCTCTGACTGTCGTTGCTGTTTCTTGACTGTCTGTGCTTGTTGTGCGTCTTTGGGTCCGGGGTTGTGTTTTTGTGTGAGTTACCAACTGCACTCCAAGTGAGAAGTGTGCGTCGGGCCGAAGCCCGTCAGGCACTCTCTCCCTAACCCTAGCATTCTCCCGAACCCTAGTGTGTGTTAGTTGCCTCTGAGGCTCTGTGCTTTCACACCTCGCCCCGTCGTGTCCGTCCCCAGTGTGATTGCGGCCATCCACGACTACGTCGTCTCTAACTCGAGAACGTATACAACCCCCTTCTGGTGTCGACCGCGCCCCTCGCGGGGGCACGGCCGGACGTGGCAGCGTCAACTGGTCACGACCAGCACTTTGGGGGAGATACCTTCACGCTATCCCAGACATGCCCGACTCACTGGCGGAGGGCCTCGGGGAGGTCCCCGCCAAGGATGTCGCAACCTACGCAAAAGCCGCTTCTGATGAGGCCGCAAGGTGGGCCAAGCGGAACGGCGTCGATGCGGGCGCCGGCACGCTCGCCTTTGCCCACACCCTCCTCACATCTCGCCGGAGCGCGAAGGCCAACCGCAAATTTGCACAAACTCCGAGACAAAGCCCCTTCGAACGCGCGAAAGCGCCGGCTTTCGAAACTCGGCGCCCGCCCTCTTTCTGGCCGCGTCCCTCCCCTGTCCTCTCGACTGCATTCCTCTTTTACATACATCGTCTTTCCGTGTGCCGTGTCGATCGACAGTGTCGTGCGTCTCTGCTCTCCCTTTTGGCATTCGCGCTCTCTGACAACTGATTACCTTGGTGATGGTAAGCACATCCAGCGCGTCCATAATTTCCTAAATCGCCGCCGCCCCCCTCGACGCCGCTCCCCTCGCCGCCGGTGGCGACCGCGCTGCCGATGTCGGTCGCGCTGGCCGGCAGCGCGTCCGCAGCCTCGTCGCTGCCCTCGCCGTCGCTGTCCTCGCCGCTGGTGGGGGCCGCGCCGCCGGCGCCGAGCGTCACCCGCCTCCACGTCTCTTCCTCTAAGTTGAGCCAGAAATCCTGGTCGGGGTAGCCGTCGTACTCGACCGCGTGCACGAGCCGGCCGTCCGAACCCTCCTCCCACCCCGTGATGGTGCCCGGCCACCACCTCTGCTCGCCCAGGATCTCCACGTGTGTGCCTGTCTCGACGACAGCGTGCCCGGCGATCCTCGCCGCCGCGTCCACGCGCAGCCGCTTGCGCCGCGCCGTCTTAGACTCCGCGGGCTGCGGCAGCACGTAGTTCGGGCCGTACTCCGCGACGTTCGCGAGGACCTCGGCCGCGCTCACCGTCTCGACCGCGGCCTCGACCGGCGGAGGGGGGAGCTCGACCCGTCGTTCGACCCGACGTTCCGTGAACTCCCGCGCCAGCCGCTCGCCAGCCGCTCCCTGATGGTGATGCGCCGCCCGTCGGTCGACGCCCTCGCCCCTGCGCTCAACCAACGACGCCGTCGCTGTCCTGCCGACGTGACCGTGATCCGAGGCCGCCCATCCGCCATTGATGCAGCCGAGATGCAATCCGAAACTGTGCTGTCCCCCCCGCTGCCCCCGGACACGTCCCTCCCTGTCCCGACTCGTTCCTACGGCTTTACTTAGTATAACAAATCTTTATTTTCGCCGACTCAGTCACACGACACACCCGCAAGGGGCAAGGGAAAAACCGCGCGGTCAAATCGCGTCGCGGACGCAAACGCAGGGACCCGCCGCGGCGTTCTCTCGAAATCGCAAGTCCTCGTCTCGACGCGAGCCATCGAGGGGCTCCACCCGGAGCGTCTCACACGATCGGCGGCAGCTTCGAGTCACTCTTTCGCGCGCGGCGCGCCTTGTCGCGCTCGAGCATCTCTCGCGACATCAGGACGCCGTCGTCCGCCGCCTCGATCTCCGCGTTCTCCTCCTCCGCCGCCGCGCGCCCCCGCGCCATGCCGTCGCGCATCATGGCGACGTTCCTGCCCACCTGCTCCGTGCCGAGCAGCGAGCCCTCCGTCTCCTCGTCCCAAGAGGTGGAGAGGACGCCCCACGTGATGCCGGCAAAGGAGAGAGCAAAGCACGCCTGCGTCGCGTACGCGATCACCTGCCGAGGCGGGGGGAGGGGCGAGGGCGTGGCGCGGGAGAAGTGGCGCGGGGAGGGAGGCGCGGGGAGGAGGAAAGCGGGACGGGCGGGCGCCTGCGGCGGTACGTCGAGGTCGAGCTGCGTGTTTGCATAGTAAGCGCCGACAAAGACGAGGAAGGAGCCAAACACGGGCAGTCCCGCGAAGGGGACCACGCGCGAGAGCATCCGGTTCGAGACCACCTCGGGCATCACGCCCGCACTCGGATCGACCGGCGACATCTCCTCTGCCGTGTACGCCGTCTGCCGGAGCGCCGCCCGGCCGCGGCGCGCCTCGTCCGGATCAGCGCCAGCCGCCTGCCGCATCGCCTCGAGCGCGCTCCGGCCGCGCGCCGCGGCGGCCTCCGCCTCAGAGATCGCCGACTGCCCGCCCGCCGCATCCAGGAGGCTGCCGCCGCCCTGCGCGCCCTCCGCCGACGCCTGCTGCTTGCTCGCAAAGCCCTTCCCGCCACCGCCGCGCTTGGCGGCCATGCGGACGTCGACCGCGGGCCGCGCCGGCGCTCGGGCGTAATAGCCGGTGGCGGTAGCCAAGATCGCAACCAGCATTTTCACTTGGGGCGAAAAAAATTTCCTCTCGCTAAGCCGTAGCCCGATCCCGATCATCCGGCCCGCTGGGTGCGCTTCTCAGCTCCCCGGCCCTGGATGTGAGGTTACTAACTGCACTCCAAGTGCTCCAAGTGCTAATCCGTTGTTACGCAAAAGCATGCGCGACTTGCACTCTTTCGTGCCACTCTCTCGCCGGTGCGCGGGGGCCGGGGCATGGCCTCCCGCGCGGCTCGCGCTCACTCGGCCTGCCTCCGCCTCGCAGCTGGCTGAGCACGCCATGGGTCCGCCGGGTGCGGCGCTGCTTGCTCGCTCGCTGCGCTGCACAGAAGCTGTGAGAAGCAGAGGGGCCTCCTGAGCTTGAGCATTGCGCAGCGAGGCTGCTGGTGCTCGAGGGCGGCCGTGCGGTGGCGTGAGGGCCTGATTGGTGGTGACCACCTGCTGCATCAGCGTGCGCAGCATGCTCCCTCACCCGGTGCTGAGACATGCTGGTGGGCGACTGGCGCCAGCTTCTCAGACAGTGCTGTCCTTGGCATTGTGCAGCATGTCGCAATACTCCTGTTGCGCTGACCGGCGCGCGGGGTGCGTCGTGCCGCGAGAAACTCGAGTCTCGAGAGATACTTGGAGCACTTGGAGTGCAGTTATCAGCCTCACATCCAGGGCCGGGGAGCTGAGGAGCGCACCCATCGGGCCGGATGATCGGGATCGGGTTGCGGGCCCAAGTCAAGAGAGCCCTAGCCCTGGGGGGTGCGCGGTCGCAGGGCCATAACACGTCTCCGAGGGTTGGCCCCGCGTACCAAGCTGGCTGCTGCCAACAAGGTCCTATGCTACCTCACGCGCGGATCGTTCAAAGAGGACCAGCATACACAGGCTTCTCTGACATGCGTTTGTTTGAGCTTGAGGCTATTTATGTGAGAAATGTTTGGCTAGAGATTGCGCTCAAGAATTTTACGACAAAACTCTCTCGCACGACACCGGGTACGGGACTGGCACTACAAAGGACACAGCAGACGGCCCCATCAGGGGCCATCGTCATCGAACAAGTCGATCTCTGCACGATTTAGCCCTCCCGAGCCGTAATCCTCCCCAAAGGGAGCGAGCTCCGCGCGCTCCTCGCGCTCCTCCTTGGCGCGCCCCTTCGCCGCCCGCCGGCGGCGGTTGTTCGCGTCCGCCTCTCCCACGCCTTCCTCCGCCTTGAGGAATTTGAGCCTCCATGGCTCCTGCTTAAGCAGGAGCGCCTCGACAGCCGCAAGAGCTGCGTCGCAAGCCGCCTCCCGAGAGAGGCCGTCCGCGAGCGCCGCCGCATACGCCGCCAACCCAGCCGCCTTTCGCGCCTCAAAGTTGGCATCCCCGTACTCCTCGATGTCCAGCCACCACTTATCGTCCCACTTTTCATGGTCGCTGTCCTCGTCCGAACTCTCCTCGCCCTCGTACGCGATAGCGGTCACGCCGTAGCTCGCGCATAGGAGCAGGAGGCTAGGCAGAGGCCGCATCGCGTTCGCTGAGCTGTAACAAGTTTGACCCAAAACAAGAACACAAGTTTGGCTCTACTAATATAGCGCGCGGATAAAGCGCGCGCGCCGCGGTGGCGGCGAAATATAATATTATCTCAGAGGAATATAGTGTGAATGCCCGGGAACAGCCCCTCCTGGCCCGACGCGCAGTCGGGTGGACGCGTCGCGTCGGACTTTTTGCCACCACCTCCACGAGTCTGTCCAGTGCACCCACTGGCCAGATGCCGGGCCTCGGAGGCTGAATCGAGCGCCGAGTCAGGCCGACCTGGCACTGCTGAGGCAGGTCACGCCTGCTGGGGCGAGCCTCGGCGAGACTGCGTCAGCTGTTCCCACAGCAGGCTGGAAGTACCTCGCCAGGTCCGTCTCGATTTTGGTTTTTTTCCCACAGACCACTCGGGCAACTTTTACGAAAGGCAAAGTTTTACTTGACCACTCGGGCAGATTCGATTGCATTTTACCACTCGGGCAAACTCGATGAAACGGGCGGACGGAAACGCGTTTGCGACGGCTCGCCGGAGAGCTATGTATGGAGCGGCCGGTGCGCCGCCGCAGCTCACCGATGGAGCCTGCGTCGCGGCTCAATCCACTGACGCAGCAGCACTGCGACACACTCTCCAAGCACGTCCTCTGGCGTTGCGATTGCACAGAGAGCGAGCAATAGGCGCCAAAAGCACTGATCTGTGTGCAGTGGATCTCCATGTCGGTCGCGCCCAGCGAGAGGACAACCGCGGGCCTCGGATGCTCGCCCGGACGCGAGCCCACCGTGCGAGTTGCGGACCCGGAGGCGGCCGGCCCGGCTCACCCCCAGAGGGGCCATGCCCAGGGTCAGGCATAAAAGGGGGGTGTTTTCCGTCCGTCCGCCATTAAAGGCTTACTACTTTACTTTCCTTGCTAAAAGAAAGAAAAGAGAAACCAAGGGAAGGATGGGTATATAGGAGAACCGCGCAGCTTTTCTTCTGCGCAACGCGCCCCCAATACCCCTCGCAAGAACCTCAGGAGCGACAAAACAACAACTCTCTCTCTCCCTCCCTCCCTCTCTCTCTCTCTCTCTCTCTCTCTCAGGAGCGACTCCGCGCTGAGGGCCGACCCAACCTCCCTCACTGACTGCACCTTCCATGGGCCATCTCTTGTCATTCTTCGCCGCATCACCCGCGCCCGCGCCGTCTCTGATTGCCGGCCGCGTGGTCGGAAAATACACTGCGGCCGCCGGGAGTCAGACTGTCGATCTCGACATAGTCGCCCTCAATGATGAGCTCGCAATCTCGCTGCTGATGACCATCGACGAGAGTTTCAGCTTCCTTCGGACCGCCGGCGCCGAGCTCGCTCGAAAGCTCCAGGCCGCCGCCGGCCCCATCGAGATGGTCTGCTCTGCCGCCACGCTCGGCATCGCCGTCGGCCAGCTGGTGGCGATATCCTTTGGCCTCGACCGCCAGGTCGTCTTGCAGAAGACTCAGAAGATCCACCTGCAGGGCGACCGCTCCCTCTCTGAGGCGCTCTCCTCAATCACAACTGGCACGCCGCAGAAGCTGCTGCTCGACAAGCGCCACCTCCATCTCGTCGCCGGCAAGCGAGTCGTCTTTGTCGACGACGTCATCTCCTCGGGCGGCTCGTGCGCAGCGGCGCTCCGCCTGTTGCGCGCGGCCGGCGCGACCGTCGTCGGCGTCGGGGCCATCCTGGTCGAGGGCCAGGGCTGGAGGAAGCAACTCGGCGAGGCGGACGCAGCGCTGGTCAGCAATCTCGGCACGATCCCGCTCTTCCGGCCGCAGGCGGACGGGCATTGGGCCGAGGATTGGAATTGCTGAGGTGCTATTTTGGGGGGTCAAGTCCAACACATGTACATGTAGAACAACTGATTTCGGGGTTGTGCTTTTTGTCGCTGTTTCTGTTTGCGGATGTGCGAGCTTCTTGTTTCTCATCAAACCTATCTGTGAAAATACCTTTTGAATGTCCCAGGCCCGGAGGGCCTCCAGGGCTCGCACCTCAACCTCTCATAGACCAGAGGATGATCCAGAGCGTCTGCCAGAGGAGCACTGGTGGACGAGAGAGTTCTCCTTCTCTCTAGACCAGCGGGCGCAGCGCCATTGGAGGTATTCTCTTCTCAATAACAGAGTCTGTACCTAACGGCCAAAGGATATCCACCTCGAGAACCTCGAGAACAAGCATGAAGGTCTGGGGTCCCCTGTCAGATCACGGGCAGTCGACAACAACAGGGTTGTCCACAACAGCGGGCGCTCGGCCCATGGATCGCAGACCTCAGGCCGGCACCACGGTTTTGGACGTGGGCGGCTGGCGGGTCGTCGTCACCGACGGGCACACAGTGCTGCCCGATGGCATGACGCACCTGCCCGACGACGCGTTCTACGGGCACCGCAGCGCCCTCATCTCTGTCGTCTGCCCGAGCAGCCTCGTCTCCATCGGCGATCGTGCCTTCTATTCCAACTTTTACCTCACCTCCATCACCCTTCCCGCCGGGCTCACGTCAATCGGCGAATCAGCCTTCTATTACTGCTGTTCACTCGCCTCCATCTCCTCCGTCGACTCCCACGCCCTTTTCACCTTCCCCGCCAGCCTCGCCTCCATCGGTCGCTACGCCTTTTACGCTGGCCGCATCGACTTTGCTCCAATCATGCCTGGCTCCTCGCGCACGCGCGTTACGGTGCCAGCCACCGCCCAGATCGGCGAGGAGGCCTTCCCCTACGCTGCCACCATCCTCCGCGTCCCGCCCGCGAGCATGCGCGCCCAGGAGCGGCTCCTCTTCTTCTACAAGGGCGCGCTGGCCTACAAGCGCTGCCGCCCCGGCCTACTCGGCTGGCTAGAGCGGGCCCAGATCAGGCTCGGCGCTTACGGTCCGGACGGCGCGGCGCGCCAGCGCGACCTGGAGGAGTTCGAAGGCGACTGTGCGCTAGCTGCGATCCATGCGTGACTGAGTGGTGTGGCAGCGCGGGGGTGGAGCTGTCTCTTAGCACAAGGTTTGTTGTTGCAAAACGAGAGAAAGACAACCGCCGCGGCCTACGTCAACTCAGGCATCCCACACCCAGGCTCTGCGCCCGCCGATGGCCGCAAGCGGCAACAGGGCCAAGGACCGGCGGCGGCGCCACCTGACCTCGCACCTGCGGCACTTCCTGCGTGCTGCGTGATCTCGGCTGTGCTGACGTCCGTACAGCCTTCACAGCTGGTGCTATCTGAATATCTGCTACAGCTCCCATGGTAGAGTTCTACAGGCGTCCGTCCGTTCCGACGTCGAGCCGTCCTCCGTGACCTCCGCGCTCCGGGATGCGCGCGCCCAGCTGCGCGCGACGCTCATCACCAACCGAACAGAGCTCCCCGGCCAGGCAGACCATTTGTCGAGGCGGTTTAGGATCGTTTAATAGTCGTGTGTAGTGACCGTCTAGGCGAAACTGCTAGAGTAGCTGTCGCCCTTTAGGGCGACATGATGGTGTTTTGGCGCGAGGGGGGGCGTGCAAGTGGCTAGAATGCCTAGCGCCGTCGTCCTGGGGGGGGCCGGGGAGGGTGCCCGCCGGAATTCCGGCGACGACTAGCACTCCAGTCGTGGTCCCATTGGTCAGACGGACCTGCGCTCCCTCGTGTGCCTGCCGGGTTCTCTCCTGCTTTCTGGCGCATCAGCTGTGGCCTCGCCCGAGTGTCTCTCGTCTCGCTACTCGAGCGGTGACGCCAGCGCTCAGCTAGGGAAACTCGCGAGTTTCCCGAGGGAAACTCGAGAGAAACAGAATGGAGCACCAAACACCCTCTCTCTGTTTTCCCTGGAAATTTCCGGAAACGCAAAGTGCTGGGGACCCTCTGTTTTCCTTTTTGTTTGCAAAAGTATATACACGCCAATCTGTCTCTGTCTGGAGCGCTGTAGAGCTCTAGCTAGAGCTCTACATGCGTCCGTCGCGTGACTGTAGAGGTGAGCGCGATTTTGCTGTATTTGTAGAGGCTGAGATCCGCATCGCCCAGGTCTCAATCAATTCGCATGTCATCCCAGCATGGGTCTGCTGAGTGCTGTGGATGGAGTGTGTATTCCAGGTTGTACTGAGATGCAATAAAACATTCCAGGATGCGATGAATGGAATGAGATCGGAGTCAAGATGGAGTCGGTTACGGTTTCTGCGGGGAATAGGAGAGGGGTGTGGGGTCACTCCCCCGAGAATCTCATCTGACGAGTCGGTTATGGTTTCTGCGGAGCGCGGGGGGAGTGTGCGCAGCTCTGTCCCCCGGTCATTCCAGGTGTCACTCCAGCTCCAATGCAGAGAGTCGCCGACGCGACGCAGGTCACGGCGGACCCAACCCAGCCCCGCGCCAACTACAGCTCCCCCCCGGCATCGCACCCACAAGGGCCGCCCCTCGCGCTTTGGCCGCGCTTTGCCTTTCAAGGCCGACCCGACGCAAGTCCCCAGGGCTCTCGGGCTGGCCGGTCTGTTTTGAAGGCGCCGCTTGGGCAGGCCAAACGGCGCCGCGACCCAAACGGCCGCTGCGACGTCGTGCCTGAGGAGGAGGAGGCTGGCGAGGGCGACGAGCTGGACCTCCAGTCCTTCCTGGAGGGAGTTTCGGAAGACGACCCGGAACTCCTCCGCATCATGCCCTCTTTCACCATGCCCTCTTTCGGCGCGCTGCGCACGGTCGAAGATGCCGACCGCGCCCGAGCTGCGGCCTCTTCTGACAGCGCGCTCGATCTGCTCTGACCTGTGCGCGAGCCCAGCGAGGCACGCTTTCAGGCACGTGGGCGCTGCTTGCACGGGGCGTCGCCCGCCGCGCCCCCGCCGCATCTCCCCTGTCCCGTTCGCTCTTCTTCTCCTCCCTGTCTGGTCAGCACTAAGCGGGTCCGCACACAGCCGAGACGCCGGAGTGCGCTGTGCAGGGATCGCTCTGCCGTGCGGAGATCCGCGCCGCATGTGCAGGCGCAGCTCCAGCGTCCAGGGGCGCAGCATGAGCATCTCGCCCCCACACCCCAGCACGTGCTCTTGCGTGCGTACGGCTGTAGTGCGTCTCTCATGAACAATAAAGTAACTACAACTTGACAAAAAGAAGATATGTGCGGGGTCGGCTGATGTACGCAGTGCTCAAACTTTACCGGTATATGGCTATGGGAGTTTTTGTGGCTAATCAAACCCAAGGCCTGCACTAATCAAAAAGTGGTACGGGATACCAGTTGCCTCACGGAAATCAAAGCGAGTCGGAGTGCCTTCTTGGTGGCAAAATCGGCAAAATCGGCAAAATACCGGGGCATTTTGCGGGTAGCCTGCCGACGCGCCACGGGCCGGCGCCCGTGTGCCTCGCCGCCGCGTCCGGCGACGACATCGATGCTGTCTGGGCCCGAGCGTGACTCGCAACTCCACGATTTGCGGTCCACCGACAAATTTGGCTGCCCCCATCAAAGTTGACTTCTCTCCTTAGATACACATACATACCTGGAAAAACCCGGGTGTATACACCCGGGTAATACCCGCACTTTTGCATGGTTTCGCCCCCCGGGGACCACACCGACAGCCGCTACAACTAATGAAAACCCCGCATACCACTTTCGCATACCACTATACCATACCACTCCAAAACTAATCAAAATATCGCCAAATACCGGTCTCATACCGGTAAAGTTTGAGCACTGCGCCACACGCGACCGTCGCACTCGTGTCCCCCCTCACCACTCGTACCCTGCGTGCATGCTGAAGCTGGTCTCGTCGAGCGAGAGGTGGCCCGTGTCGCCGAGGGAGATCATCGAGACGGAACCCGTCGGGCGGATCTTGAGGTGCGTGAGGGAGCAGTTGTAGGTGCAGAGCCGCAGCCACGCCTCGGGCGGCAGCTGCAGCGCGCGCAGCGCCATGTAGCGGATCACGTTGCCGTGGCACACGACGATGTCGTACTCGTGCTGCGACACGCGCGGCGGCTTGCTCGCGCGGGGGCTGAGCTTGCCGGGGGCGGTCGCGGCGCCGGCGGCGCCGTCGGAGGCCACCTCCGCAGCGCCGTCGCCCCGCCCGCCGCCAGCGCCGTCGTCGGGGGGATAGGGCGGCCTGCCCCGGTAGACGAGGGCCCGGTAAGCGGCCTCCATGCGCGCGCCCTCGACGTGCACCTCGCGCGCACCGTCCGCCAGCGCGCCCTTGGAGTACGGGATGCGGTGCGCGGGCGGGTACCCCTCGGCCAAGTTCGGGTCCGGCGCGAGCCTAAGGGAGGTTCCGAGACGGTTCCGAGAAGGTTCCGAGAAGGTTCCGAGGAGGGGTACCCCTCGGCCAAGTTCGGGTCCGGCGCGAGCCTGCGGACCCTCCCGGCGGGAAGCTCTGCGGCGATGAGGTCCGCGGTCTCCTTGGCGCGGGTCAGGGTGCCTAGAAGGTGACAACAACGCTCCCTCGCACGACACTGGGCACGGGACTGGCGCGCACTGGCACTAACAAGAAGCAGACTACGCCAACCTCAGGGCGGGGAGACGGACTCGTGCGGAGTAGGTGGCCATGCATACGGCGGTGTGCAGAGTACTAGTGGTGCATCTACCAATCTCGGGGCGGCCTACGTGCCAATACGCCAACCTCGGGGCACGAATACGGTGTTGTGCAGCGTCTTCGGAGCACCGCGAGAATACAACGGAGAAGAGTACAGTGGATACAGCGGAAGACGGGTGAACACGGCTGAATACGTGTCCTCTCGGGCGCTAGTTCGGATACCTGAATACGTGTGTCCGCTTCTAGGTCAGCGTGCTCACGTGGAGCCGCACGTGCGCCTCGCGCCCCTCCTCCTGCAGCGCGCCGCGGAGCATCTCCGCAATCCGCCGGCCGGTGGCGGTGGCCTGCTGCCTGCCGAGCGGCGTGAGGGTCTGCTCGGCGTCGAGGCGCGGGAAGGCCTCGTCGAGCGGCATGCCAAAGTCGCGGTCGGGCACGCCTACAGGAAGGCACCAGGAAGGGTCTAGGAAAGGTCCGAGAAGCGGCATGCCAAAGTCGCGGTCGGGCACGCCGGCAGGGCGGGAGAGAGCGCGCGAGAGCGGCCTCTGCTCGTCGTACTGGCCGTGCCGCACGAGGATGATGTGGCGGGTGGGCGCGCCTGGCGCGGCAGCGGTGGCCATGCGGGTGACGGCGAGGCGAGGCGGGGGCGAGAGGGAGACGGGGAGGAGCGAGGGAGGAGACGGAGGATGAAGAGAGCGCAGCCGAGAGAGCGGCCGTGGCACCTCCGTACGCGTGCTCGAGGTACGCGCGCCGGTAGAGCGCAGGCAGCTCCGCCTCGGGCGTCCGCTCCAGCAGCCGCTCCACGCGCTCGCTCGACCTGTCGGTGTGCTCGGCGTAGAGCGATCGCACGGCGTCGGCATAGTCGGCGATGGGCCAGGCGTGGCGGAGCGCGCGAGCCACCTCGCGGTCCGACGGCTCGCAGTAGTCCCAGTTCCGGTCCCACGCCGGGTACGGCCTCGCCGGCAGGAAGCGCTGCTCCTCATACTCGGCGGGCAGGTCCTGGAAGCGGATGTCATCGTCCGCCTCGCACGACGCGGCGCGCTGGAGCGCGACCGTGCCGGCGGCGGCGGCGATAGCCGCGGCGGCGGCGGCGGCGGCGGGTGCGGACGCGGCGGAGGAGCGAGAGAGCGTGGAGCGGCGTCGCGATGCCGCTCGCACTGCCGCCCTCGCAAACAACATAGGAGAGCCGAACCGGGGCGCCTCCAAGAATTCTTTTGATAACCAACAACTCGAATTCTTTGTTCGAAGCCCGAGCACTCAGCACCAGCCTCGCGCGCTCGGCATGCCTGCTGCTCGCCTGCCGACCTGGCCAGGCCGCGCGTGGCTGGCGCCAGCTCGTCATCGCAGCGGAGCACCGGAGGCGCGGTTTGCCCGCTGCTGGCTCTCGCCCCGCCGGCGGTTCCACGTGAGTCTATCACACTCTGCCGCCGAAACCAGGCGGAAATGTGCCTCCTCACAGCTCCTCATGGATCTGCGAAGAGAACCGTCTCCTCCAAGTAGCTCCACAGCCGGTCCGGCTCGCCCCTCGGGGGCTTCATTCAAGCGTGCTGTGTGAGTGTTGAGGTGATACGAGCGCGCGTGGGCGCGGCGCGAGTGCCGTTTTGGGTCTCTTTTATACCAGTGATGAAATATAAACCGACTTTACCACGCGCGCGCACGCGCGCCGCGCTCCTCGACTCTCTCGCACCCGCCCCGAGCCACGCCCCTCACGAGATAGGCGGCTGCGACCCTGAGAGTGCGCAGCGGTGCCGCTGGCGTGCTCACCACACCCACCCATCATGCCTGCATCATTCCTGCACGCACTGCCCGGTCTGGCCGGGGCGTGGGGCGAGATCTGGCATGGCGGCGCGCTTGAATTGAGCGCCTTTGATCGTCTCGCGGCGACTGCTCGCAGGCCGGGCGGCCAGAAACTGTGCCGCTCAGCCATCCGCCGAAGCGAGCGCGCCGGCGGCGGTCCGCCGCCGGCGCGCTCGGCTCAGTGTCTTCAAGCCCGCCGCCGGTGGGGAGCTCCGCATGCCGCACGCCTGCTTTTCGCTGCGCATGCTCGAGCCCCCCGGCGAGGGCTTGTGCTGTGAATAGCAGGCGTGGTCTGTACTCGCCAGAGCACCAGCAACCCCTCCCGTTTGCATGCCCGGCCGGACGAAGGCTGGCTCGGCCGCGTCCCGGCGCGGGCACGCGTCAACGGCGGCTACTGCTGCGCCGCTCTCGCTGCCGAAAAGGATCGAGGCGGCGGCGGAGAGCGGCAAGGTCAGCGTGGTGCAGACGTGGCTCGCCGGGGATGGGCGGGTTGACGCGACGTGCGTGCATCGCGGTGTGAGCGGCTGTACGCTCCTGCTGATCGCCGCCAAACAAGGTCACAAGCAGCTCGTTGAACTGCTGCTGAAGCGCGGCGCGGAGGCGGACGCGCGAGACAGCGAAGGCTGTACGGCGCTGATGGCCGCCGCCGCCAACGGCCACGAGCGCGTGGCCGAGATGCTGCTGCGGCACGGCGCAGGGATCAGCCTGCAGGACCGCGAAGGCGGCACCGCGTTGATGTCGGCCGCCGCCAACGGCCACGAGCAGGTGGTCGAGGTGCTGATTCAGCACGGGGCGGAGATCAACCTTCAAGACAGCGACGGCCACACCGCGCTGGTGTTCGCCGCGCGCTACGGCCACCCTGCCGTGGTGCTTCGCTTGCTGCGGGCGGGCGCAGACATGACGCTGCGCACTGCGGAGGGCAAGACGGCGCTGCAGATCGCCAAAGAGAAGGGCCACACCGAGTGCGTCGAGGCTTTCAGGACGTATCTCGGGGAGGTGGCGGGCCGGCGCGAGGCGCCGTCGGCCGAGGCGGGCGGCGCAGGGGCGAACGGCGCACCGGAAGTCGAGGCGGCGGCGGGCGCCAGTGCTGCGGCCTCTGCTGTGAGCGGCGAGGGCGGCGCGGAGGCCGCGCCGGGCAGCGGAGAGGTGCCAGAGGAGGTCGTGCTTGCGGCTCGTGGAGGCGACGGATTTCCGGTGCTGGCGTGGCTCGACGGCGGCGGGTGGGTCGACGCGACGTTCGAGTACACCTTTGCTTGCGGCACTCGCGTGAGCGGCGTGACGCTGCTGATGATCGCAATGATCAAAGGCCACGCGGGGCTGGCCGAGGCGCTTCTGCGGCGCGGCGCGGATGTCTCATTGCAGAAGAGCAACGGCGGCTCCGCGCTGAGCCTCGCCGCCTTGAACGGCCGCGAGGAGATGGTCGAGCTGGCATTGCAGCACGGCGCGGAGATCGACCAGCAAAACAATTTTGGCAGCACAGCGCTGATCGAGGCCGCCTACAGAGGCCACGAGCGGGTGGTCGACACGCTGATCCGGCGCGGAGATCGACCATCAGGACAACGACGGCGACACCGCTCTGATGGCCGCCGCCGCCCTCGGGGGTTGCCCCGCAGTCGTGCTTCGCTTGCTGCGGGCGGGCGCAGACATGAAGCTGCGCACTGCGGCGGCCAAGACGGCGCTGCAGTACGCCAAGGAGAAGGGCCACACCGAGTGCGTCGAGGCTTTCAGGACGTATCTCGGGGAGGTGGCGGCAGCTCGGAGCAAGGCGGCGGCGGTCGAGGCGGATGGCGCGGGGACGAGCGGCGCACCCGCAGGCGAGGCGGTGGCGGGCGCCAGTGCCGCGGCCTCTGCTGTGAGCGGCGAGGGCGGCGCGGAGGCCGCGCCGGGCAGCGGAGAGGTGCCAGAGGAGGTCGTGCTAGCGGTTCGGCGAGGCGAGGAGGCGGCGGTGCTGGAGTGGCTCGACGGCGGCGGGTGGGTCGACGCGACGTTCGAGTACACCTTTGCTTGCGGCACTCGCGTGAGCGGCGTGACGCTGCTGATGATCGCAATGATCAAAGGCCACGCGGGGCTGGCCGAGGCGCTTCTGCGGCGCGGCGCGGATGTCTCATTGCAGAAGAGCAACGGCGGCACCGCGCTGAGCCTCGCCGCCTTGAACGGCCGCGAGGAGATGGTCGAGCTGGCGTTGCGGCACGGCGCGGAGATGGACCAGCGAACCAATACCTGCGGCACTGCGCTGATGCAGGCCGCCGCGAAAGGCCACGAGCGGATTGTCGACACGCTGATCCGGCTTGGCGCAGAGATCGACATGCAGGTCAACAAGGGCGACACCGCACTGATGCTCGCCGCCCTTGGCAACCATCCCGCCGTGGTGCGCCAGCTGCTGCGGGCGGGCGCAGATATGACGCTGTGCACCAAGAAGGGCAAGACCGCGCTGCAGTACGCCAAGGAGAGGGGCCACGCCGAGTGCGTGCGCGCCCTCGAGGAGCATGCGGCGGCCAAGGCGGCGGCCGAGAAGGCGGCGGAGGAGGCGGCGTGGGCTGCGGAGGCGGCGGCGAGGGCGGCGCAGAGGGCGGCGGAGGAGAAGGAGGCGGCGCGGCACGCCGACGAGCTGCTGGCGGAGGTCGAGGCGGAGAAGCGCGCCAAGGGCAAGAAGGGCAAGAAGAAGAAGAAGAAGGGCGGCGGGAGCGGCGGCGCTGGGCCGTCGCAGGAGGTGCCGGGGGAGGCAGCCGCAGCCGCGCCCGCGCCGTTGGACAGGGAGGGGCTGCTCAAGCTTCTCGCGGAGCTCCACGAGGACAGGATCCGGTTCGGCATCACGCCGGAGACGTCGGTCGAGGGGCTGGCGGAGGCGCTGGGAGAGGCGGCGGGCGAGGCGAGCGAGGAGGAGGGCGACGAGGAGACGGCGGAGGCGGCCGAGGAGGAGGGCGTGGAGGCGGCAGCGGAGGCGCGCCGGCAGGCAGCGGCGGAGGCTGCGGCCGTGGCAGCTGCAGAGGAGGAGGAGGAGGCTGCCGCAGCGGAGGAGGAGGCGGAGGAGGCGGCAGTAGCGGCGGCAGAGGCGGCGGCGGCAGAGGCGGCGGCGGCAGAGGCGGCAGCGACGGCGGCGGCGGCAGAGGCGGCGGCAGCGGCGGCGGCGGCAGAGGCGGCGCTCGCCGCAGCCAAGGCGAGGCGCGCGTCAGGTGCCGCTGCGAGGGCCAGGGCGCGGGAGGCGGCCTAGCCCGCGCACAAGGACAGCTGGCGCAGTGGCAGCCATGGGGAAGGGTCTCTCGTACTCTGGGGTGCGTTCTCTCGTGAACGATCGTGGCTGTGGGCTGGGCCCCGCGCCGCGCGGGCGCGCGTGCGGTCCTTCGAGGTCCCGCCGGGAGCTGCTCACACAGCCGTACGTGAGGTGGGCGGTGGCGCATTTTGAGGTGGGGGAGGGGCTAGGGGAGGGGCGGAGAGACGCGGCAGCGCTGATTGGCCTCGGGCGTGACCCGAGCTCGAGGCGCGGGACCGCCGCGCTGCGGGAACTGTACTGTCCCGCACTGGCGGGGTCGTGGGGGGACAGTGCGCCACAAGACTTGTCGGCGTGTTGTGTTGCACTGACTGTCGGGGGGGTGTGAGTTGACCCCAGCAAGGACTCTCACGCCCCCCCCCTTTGGGAGGTTCCCCGGAGGGAGGTTCGTGTCATGAGAGAAGATACACCCCTCCGTGTATCTAGACGGGCGGAAGATACACTGAAGATACACTTATGCGGAGATACACGGCCCAGCCCAAACGAAGAGGTGTATCTTCATACGAAGATACACCGCGGCCCAAACGAAGAGGTGTATCTTGACGGAGCGCGTTCATAGTGAAGATACACGTAAGCGGGAGCGGCAGTTGCTCATGCCGCTGGAGGGGCTCGGCCCGCCCTTTGAGGGCCCCAATGGCATCATGTTCCGCGCCGGCTTCTGGAAGGGCAAGCCCGTGGTTCTCCGCATGTCGTCCGCGTCCAGCACCGGCTACGAGAACGTGTTCAAGCAGGGCGGCAGCAAGAAGCGCAACCGTCCCTATGTCGCCAAGTTCAAGCGGGTCGGCGAGAAGACTCAGCGCCACCTGCCCGACTCGAACAGCGCGACAGCCGAGGAGGCGGCCGCCAAGCTGGCCTACCACCACGAGTACGGGTCGGAGCTGCCGCCGCCTGCAGCTCGCCAGCCTCGCCGCTCCCCGGAGGTGCGCTCCTGAGCCCGCACCCATCCTGGCTGCGCTCAGTCCTCCTTCCCTGGGCTGTAGGAGATGGCGGCAGAGCGGGCGGTCAAGGAGGCGCGCAAGCAGGCCAGGCGGCCGCAGAGGCCGCCGCTCACGCCCGCGCCGGCGCAGCCTCCACAGTCTCCTCTCACGGGTCCCGGCGTGCCGTGTGTGCCGGTAATCCCTCTCCCCATGGGCTACCGCCCCCTCCCCTCGGAGCCAGTCATCCCTGTGGGCCCTGTGGGTGAGCCCCAGCCAGGCCAGTGCCAGCACTCGTGGGACCCAGCCACCTGCGCCCTCTGCAACTGGTCCTGGGGCGCCCGGCGCTGAGATACACTCAAGATACACTCGAAGATACACTTCGTAGATACACCGGAGGAATGTTATAAAGTGTATCTTTGAAAATGTATAGTCAAGTGTATCTTTGGCTATCACTCGAACTTTGGACAAGGGAATCGCCAGAAGAGGGGGGCGTGAGAGTCCTTGGACCCCAGCCCGTGGCTTACTTTTTCTGTTTCTGAGGGGCGTGGAGGTGCGCGCGGGTCGCGTCCGCGGGGAGGAGTCGCTCTCTCTCCCATCAGACATGCTCGACACAGATGCGGACAGGCGGAGAGGCAAGCACTCTAACACAGGCAACAAAAAAAGAAAAGTGACGAACAAGCGATCCTTGCGTGTCTGCCAGGCTCCTTCATCGCAAGCGCCAGTCACAGCCTCCTGCCGCTCAGCCCTACGATGTCCATCCTCTTCGCCCTGGCGCCCCTCGCCAGACCCGACGGCTTCACCCTCGCGGCGAGCAGCGCAGTCCGCCTCCCCCTCCAAGCCCGGTCCCGCCTCCGCCGGCCCTCGACGGAACGCTCGCCGCCGCGTGACTGTATGGATTGCGGCCGGCCCACAGCAACACAGAAAAGAGAAACCCGAGCACGAAATTCTTTTTTTTTTGATGCCCGCGCGGGAGAAAGAGAGTGAACGCGCTCAGCACCAGCAACCCCTCCCGTTTGCATGCCCGGCCGGACGAAGGCTGGCTCGGCCGCGTCCCGGCGCGGGCACGCGTCAACGGCGGCTACTGCTGCGCCGCTCTCGCTGCCGAAAAGGATCGAGGCGGCGGCGGAGAGCGGCAAGGTCAGCGTGGTGCAGACGTGGCTCGCCGGGGATGGGCGGGTTGACGCGACGTGCGTGCATCGCGGTGTGAGCGGCTGTACGCTCCTGCTGATCGCCGCCAAACAAGGGCGGCCTAGCCCGCGCACAAGGACAGCTGGCGCAGTGGCAGCCATGGGGAAGGGTCTCTCGTACTCTGGGGTGCGTTCTCTCGTGAACGATCGTGGCTGTGGGCTGGGCCCCGCGCCGCGCGGGCGCGCGTGCGGTCCTTCGAGGTCCCGCCGGGAGCTGCTCACACAGCCGTACGTGAGGTGGGCGGTGGCGCATTTTGAGGTGGGGGAGGGGCTAGGGGAGGGGCGGAGAGACGCAGCGCTGCTCGGGCGTGACCCGAGCTAACGCGCCGTTTCTAAGCCTTTTCGCACACCGCGGCACCCTCCACCCACCCCACTGGTTTCTCAGCTTCGGCCGGCAGCCCCAGGTAAGCCGGGAGCTAGGTAAAATGACTCATTGGACCTAAAGAGAAAGAAAACAGACCAACAAGAAAAATGGACTTGGATTTCTTTCTGCTGTGAGACAGACTTGTTTTGTTTAAATTCTTTCTCGGCGCGGTCGAGGGCGCGGGGGTGGGTCGCGCAGTGCCCGCTGGCGGGGCAAGCGGCGAGGGGGTCGCCGGGGGGGTTGGGATGATGGGGATGGTCTTTTCGGCGAGCACTACGGTGCTCGCGGATTCGACTGTCCCCCCGATCGTGCCCACCTCCATGAGGACGACGGCGCCTTCTAAAGGTCCGTCGCAGGCTGTGCCTCTTTTGGTACCTGTGTAAATAAATAAATAAAACGGACATCCCAAGCTAGGGCTGGGTCGAGGACAGACACGTCCCCACCTTTGGTACCTGTGTCGAACCTGTGTGCGGTGCGTGAGAATTCTTTTTGTTGAATTCTCGGGGGGCGGTTCGAGGAATCTCCGCATCGCGTGCGGTCGGACCGCACCTGTTCCTCGTTTGCGATGTCGACCCTGATCGCGCTCATCTGCGTCGCTCCGGCGGCAGCCTTCCGCACGGGCGTGTGGCATCACCCTCCCGACGCGTCAACTTCCTCCTCTCTTTTTCCTCGGGCCGCGACCGCGGCGATGCAGCTCCCGGGGATGGCGCAGGCGGCCACCGCCGCTGCCACGGTGGTGCAGGAGGTGGCCGGCTCGGTTCAGGACGTCGAGGCGCCCGACGCGGACGACAGCTTCGTCGCCATCGACGAGAGCCGCACCGGCCTGGTCGACGAGGAGGGCCTTCCGCTGGTGTATGACAAGGAGGCGATCCAAAAGTACTGGGAGGGGCAGGGCGGCGCGCTGCAGTCGCGCTGGGCGGAGTTTCTGTCGGTGAGCGTTCCCTTCCTCACGCGCGTGGCGGCGCTCCTCGTCTCGGGCGGCACCGACGCGCTGAACGACTCGGCCTCGGAGCTCGCACGCGACGCCCGAGAGCGGATCCAAAAGTTGGGGCCGACGTACGTCAAGATGGGACAGATGATGTCGGTGCGGCCCGACATCCTGCCTCAAGCGGCGCTCGACGAGCTCACCATCCTGCAAGACGGCGTCGAGGGCTTCCCCGCTGACGTGGCGCGCGAGATGGTCGAGGAGGAGCTTGGCGCCCCGATCGACGAGTTGTTTTCCGACTTCTCGGCCGAGCCGGCGGCGGCGGCCTCGCTGGCGCAGGTCTTCCGGGCGACGCTCCGCTCGAGCGGCGAGCCCGGCGGCGGTCGACTCGCTCCCCTCGGCTGCAGCCCTCACCATCGTCGAAGATTGCCCACAGGCGAGGCTGTGGCGGTCAAGGTGCAGCGGCCGGGAGTCCAGTCCCTCGTCTCCAAAGACCTGTACGTGCTGCGGCGGGCGGCGGAGGTCTACCAGGGGCTGGCGAGCCGCCGCTGCCCGCGCCCTCCGCGGTCCGCGCCCAGCGCCAGGGCTGCGCGCGTGTCCCGCGTGTAGGTCGAGCGTTTCGCGCCGCAGCAGCGCACCGACTACGTCGGCTTGCTAAACGAGTGGGCAGTCGGCTTCTACACGGAGCTGGACTTCAAGAACGAGGCGAGCAGCGCGCCGGCAGGCGGCGGGAGAGCTTGGGGCGCGTGTCTCTCAGGCCGGTGCCGCGCGCCGCGTAGGCGGCGAACATGCAGACGATGGCGCGCGGCCTCGCCGAGGCGGGCGTCACGGACGTGGCGGTGCCGCGCGTGTACGAGGCGCTGACGACGCGGCGCGTGCTCGTGAGCGAGTGGATCGACGGGCGCAAGCTGTCTGAGTGCTCGACCGAGGAGGTCCGCGAGCTGGTCGCCATCGGTCAGGAGTGCTTCCTCGTGCAGCTGCTGCAGACAGGCCCCACTCCCTCGCCTCCGCCGCCGGCCCCCGGCAGGGCGCGCCTCGGGAGTCTCGCGGAGCGGCTTCTTTGACCCTTCTCTAGGCTTCTTCCACTCGGACCCGCACCCGGGCAACCTGATGCGGCCGCACGACCAGAGCCGTGCGCGGTGCGACTTTCCCCCCTCACCCGCCTGGCCCGCGCCCCGCCCTCTAGCCCAGCGAGGCCCGAGCGACGCGCACGCCCGCCGCGGAGAGGGCTGTTGCGCGGCGCGACCCGCCCCCTGCGTGCCTGCCGGCGGGCGCAGGCTCGTGCTGATCGACTTTGGTCTGGTCGCGCGCGTGCAGCGCAAGGACCAGGACCTGTTCGTCTCGTCCATCATCCACCTCGCAAACAAGGACTACGCCGCCCTGAGTACTTAGAGTCAATGAATAGTTCATTCGTCCACCTCGCAAACAAGGACTACGCCGCCCTGAGTAATTAGAGTCGATGAATAGTTCACTCATCCACCTCGCAAACAAGGACTACGCCGCCCTGAGTACTTAGAGTCAATGAATAGTTCATTCATCCACCTCGCCAACAAGGACTACGCCGCCCTGAGTAATTAGAGTCGATGAATAGTTCATTCATCCACCCCGCCAACAAGGACTACGCCGCCCTGAGTGATTAATAGTTAGTTAATTACTAGTTAATTACTAGTTAATTCGTTAATTCATCCACCCCGCCAACAAGGACTACGCCGCCCTGATCGACGACTTTGTCGGCCTCGGCATCCTGCCGCCCGACTGCAACCGCGCCAAGGTGCTCCCTCTGATGGACAAGGCGCTCTCGCCGTACGTCAAGGGCGGCGGCGCCAAGAAGTATGAGCAGGAGCTCAAGACCCTCTACGGGATGGACGGCTCGGTCGAGTCCACCGTCGGAGGCTTCCAGGCGATGACCAGCGACATGCTCACCGTGCTCAACGACATCCCCTTCTCCATCCCGCCGTACTTTGCGTTGCTCGCGCGCGCCGTGGTCACGCTCGAGGGGCTCGCGCTGCAGGCCGTTACTCAATAATTAATTAATGAGCTATTAACGAGCTGAGTAGCTCACTCGTGGCTCGCGCTTGCAGGCCGACCCGGACTACGGCCTCGTCCTCGAGGCGTACCCCTTCGTCGCGCGCAAGCTGCTCTCCTCCGACCGGCCCGAGCTGCAAAAGGCGCCGCACCAGGGCTTCGGCGGCGGCGGCGACCCGGGCAGGTGCGTTGACACGCCCAGGGCGCGTCGCATAGGCGCTGCAGGAGGTGCTCTACGGCGGCGGCGACCCCGCCCTCAAGGGGGTGGTGACGCCGACGCGGCTCGCCGCCCTCGTCAACTCGGCCGCCGGAGTCGTCGCGCGGCAGGAGGGCGCCGCTTTTGTCGACCTCGACGCGGTGCCGGACGAGGGCCTCACGCCCGCCGCCGCCGCCGCTTTCGTGCTCTCGCCGGACGCGGCCTCGATCCGCGCCCTCCTCGCCGACGAGGCGGCCGGCGCCTCCGACTTGCTGCTGCGGCAAGCCCTTCGCAAGGCGGTGCCGCTCGTTGCCGCCGCTCTGCCGCAGCCGCCGCGCCTCCCGTTCCTGCCGCCGCCGCCCGAGCCGCTCGAGCTGCCCGTCCCGCTGCCGCCGCGCGCGGGCGCCGCCACGGGCGGGGGGGTGCCGCTGCCGTCGCTCACCTCCGCGCGCGCCCTGCTCGACGCGCTGGCGCCGCCCCTCTCGCGCGACGAGGAGCTCTATGCCCTCTCGCTCGTCGACTGATCACTAGCTAATTCCTAGCGAATTACTAGCTAATTAATAGGAGCTCTATGCCCTCTCGCTCGTCGACTTGCTCAAGTCGACCCTCGGCGAGGAGGCGGCCGCCCTCGCGGCGGGGGACTTGTCGCAGGACCCCGTCGCGGCCGCGCGCGCCGCGAGGCCCATCCTCGCCGCCGCACTCGAGGCGCAGGGCCCCGCCGCCGCCGACTCAGCCGTGGCGCGCCTCGCGCGCGCGGCGCTGCAGCTGCTCGAGACGGTCGACGCGCTGCCGTTCGGCGGCGGCGGCCGCGCAGGGGCGGACAGGGGCGCCGACCCGCTCCGGGAGGTGCTCGCCGGCGTGAGCGACACCGAGCGGGCCGTGCTGCAGGAGGAGCTCGACCGACTCGCTGGCCGGCTGCGCGAGCGGCTCGAGGAGCGGCTGGCGGCGGTTCAGTGAGAGAGTACGCACGGGGAACAAAGGGTGTGTGTGGTACTGATTATCCTATTCCTATTCCGCGTATTTGTCCTACACCAAACATGCAAACAAATATATCATATATGTATGTAAAAGGGAATGCAGTCGAGGAGGAGAGGGGGGGGGAAGGTAGGTAAGGTAAGGTAAACGTCTCCACACACACAAAGTGGTGGGGCAAGGGGGGGCGACCCTCGCATCTCCACGCCCGGACACGGGCAGGAGCCCCACGGCATTCAAAGTGCAAGCACCGGCCCGGTGCCGTGGGTGAGCAACCTGCACCCCACTCCTACTCCTATAACACAACCCCCACAGCGTGGTCGTCTACGTGTTCAGAAACACAGCGAGGCGAGGGTGAAGGGGTAGTACCCGGGGTAAGGGGCTGTGTGGGGCTATCTGTGACTACTCCATCTAGCCTGGGGGGTAGCAGGAGGGGGGGGGCAGAGGGTAAGATATGGGTGAGGCCAGCTACAAGTCGGACGCCCTCCCGTCGTCGTCGGAATACTCCTCGGAGCGGTCGGCGTCCTCGTCGTCGTCCTCGGTCTGCATTGCCTTTGGGCATGTTGAGGCTCATGGCCTTCGATGCCCGCGGCGTGGCCGGGATCTGATGGAAGGCGCTGTTCATGTCAAGCGCGGTCATGAAGCGTGCGCCGCCCAGCCTGTCGAGACATGCTTGCAGGGTGGGCAGGGGGTAGAACGCAGGCACAGTAGCAGCGTTGACCGTGCGGAAGTCGAAGGCCACCCGGTATCCGCCCTTGGGCTTAGGCACCACCACACAGGCGCAGCCGTGCGCTTCCTGCGAGGGCACCAGTGCTCCGACCGCAAAGAAGGTCCGCTGCATCTCGAGTATGGCCTCCTTCTGCTCGTGCCCCTGGTTGAAGTAGGGCTTGTTCTCTATGACCTTCGTCCCGCCCTTTTCTGGGTCGAATTCGGGGCGGAGGGTCACATCGAACACGCCCGCCAGGCAGCTCCCGATGCGGTCCCCTTTGGGGAACACGTAGCGCCTCCGCTCCGTGTAGGTCTCCATCAGCTGCTTGATGCGCCGCTCGTACGCCTCTGTGTCCACGTCTGCTCCCTCGGGCATGGGGTGGGTGGCCCTAGCGACCTCCTCCGCCGACAGCTCGGGTGGCTCGGGCGGCCGCACTGCGTAGTCGAAGTGGCCCTTCTCATCGGGCAGGTAGTAACTGCACAGCACGGTGCCCTTTTGCAGGATTAGTTCGCAGGTCTCCTTGACGTCTAGGACGACTTGGAAGTGCCCCCCCATGACTGTGGTCACGTACGTGCCTATGCCCAGCCGCCCCGCTGCGCAGTCTCGGCCCACGTCGGTGTCGGGCGGCGGCGCCGTGTAGAGGACGCGCCGTCCCTCCAATTGCGCCGGGACGGCGACTCGCACGATGCCACGCCCGTCCCGACCTTGACGCTGGCCAGCGATCCGCACCTCGTCCGCTGCGCGAGCGGTGGCGGCTCTCTCTGCGTCCGCCGCTGCCACGCAAGGGTGGGCCGGCAGGAGCGCCCCGCCCTGCTCGAGCTCCGCGAGGTAGCAGAAGCAGAGGTTCGTGCCTGCCTCGACCCGGATCCGGCCGCCCGTAAGGTTGTCGACCTTGATCGTGATGTGCGAATCCCGGACTCGATGGAGGTTGCTATCCATTTGCGTCTGTAGCTGCAGCGCCGTGCGTGCAAAGAAGGCGCCCCTCGCCTCGTCGCCGGCTACGTCCTCGCCGGTAAGAGGTATCGGGAGGACGAGCTTACCCTCCATGGCGGGGTGGACCCTGACACGAACGGCGGTGGTCCCCCACGCCTTGAAGTTCGTGCGCTCGGCGAGCCGGCCCCGCGCGTCTTGCTCCTCTGGCTTTGCGGAGCCCTCGCTTGCAGCCAGGGTGGCGAGCGGGGTCGGGCCGGCGTCGCCGTACCTCCGCGGGATCCCCCACCGGCTGTCCCAGAACTCGCCCGCCGGCATCAGCTTCGGGAGGGGGCTGCGGTGGGCGTGGGTGAGCTCTCGAAGGGGGCTGCCCTCGCTGCCGCACGCGTACGCGCCTTCGGCAGCGCATTCGTACATGCGTTTGAGCTTGACGTCCGTGACGATGTTGGCCCGGTGCAACTCGCCGCCGTGCCGTAGGATGGCGTGATGCTCACCCAACGCTACATCCTTCACGTGAGTGTAGGAAAAGTCGTTGCCAAAGATGCGAATTTGGTCGTCTCCCTCCGCCACGAGGCCGACATGCTCATAGCGCAATCGCGTCGTTCGCCCACTCTCCAGGTGAGTCGCTGCGATGGCGATTCGCATGCGCAGCGTGCCCACGACTCTCCGCGAGCCGACGCCCGAGAGCGTGATTCCGGTGCTCGACCGGTCGATCACCGCGGCGCCCGCCTTGCACATGCGATCTGCGGTGGCCTCGTCGACGACCGTGACTCCGGCACCAGTGTCGAGGAGCGAGCCCTCCAGTCGGTGGTGCTCGCCCTTTCGGTCCTGGTACGTGAGATCCTCGAACACAGCGGGTATGCTCGGGACCCGTTTCGAGCCGTGCAGCGGCCCCTCAACGACGTCCGAGGTGCGGAGTTCGCGATCTCTCGGGTCGCTATTGCTGGCCGCGTGGAGCCATTGCTCGGAGATTGTGTCGCTGATCACACCGTCCTCCGATGGCGGTGCGCTTCCCCAGGACTCCTCTCGCAAGGGGCCAACAGGAGGAGGCGCGTCCACTGGAAGGGACGCTGCTCCCTCCACTGGAGGGTAGGGTTCCACCCGCGGGCTCGCTCCGTGCGAACTCGCTGTAGGGGTAGTTTCATTCATAGCTATGGACCCGCGCGCGCCGCGCAGGCCGATTGCGGGGCTCTCCCACAACCACGCTGACCAGATCCCCGGACCAGCGACAGAGGCGAAACGACACTCGGCCCGCCGACACAATTCGGCCACTGGACACCATAACTAAATGCGGCGCAGGCCAATCTCAAGTTCCCTTCTCAATTCTTCGCGGGTTTTGGTGCAGTCACCTTCCCCCGCGACAGATTTTAAGGAGAGGGGTGTTGATGCGCTATCCATCGCCCACCCTTGGGCGTCCGCCTCTTCCTATCTCTCTTCGCATTCTCTCTCCGATTCTCGCTGCAACCTTCGTGCCACCTCGCGGTCGCCCTCTTCAATGCTTGGAACGTGAAGCGTCAGCCCCACCGGTATTTCTCGCAATCGAGCAGAATGGCGCGAGAAGCACACCAGCTACGCGACAGCCTCCTCGCGGATCATGGGCCGATGCTGCGCGGCCTGCTGTCGCGGCCGTCCAAGAGCAGCTGCGAGAAGATGCGTCTCTTCCGCGAGCGCGTCGCCGGCGCGCTCTCCACGCTCGAGGCGGCGGAAGAGAGCCTTCCCGCGCTGGCCGAGCTGCAGCAGCTGCGCGAGTTCCTCGACGACCTCGCGCGGAAAAACGAGGCCGCCAAGCAAAAGGCGGCGGCCGCCAAGGCCGCCGCCAACCACCAGTACGCTCCTCCGCCGGCGGCCACCAGCAGCAGCGAGGCTCCGCTGCCCACCGGCGGGAAGCAGAGCCGGGCCGAGGAGGAGAATGCCTCCGGCGCGGCGGGCGCGAGTAGCATGCTCTCCATCCTGACTAAGCGCCCGCGCGCCGGCAGCGCCGAGGAGGAGGTGGCCAGCTCGCTGGCAAGCGTCATGTACGTACATGGCGACGCGCGCGAGCCGTCGGCGGGGGCAGTGGAGGAGCTGCTCTCGCACGTCGCGGCGTGGCTCTCGCGCGTCCTTCCACTGGTGCGGCGGCCCGAGGGCGGCATCGCCTTCGAGCGGCTGGTCGAGCTCTTCCCGCTCGAGGCGGCGAGGCACGCGTCGCTGCTCGCGGCGGCGCGCAAGCAGGCGAGCGCGGATGCGGAGTCGGACCCGTCGAGCAGCCACGCGCTGCTGGGCGACGAGGTGGAGGAGCGCGAGGCGAGCGACGACGCCGGCGCGGAGCCGGAGGCCGCGGACGAGGCGGCAGGGGCGGGCGGCGAGGCGGTGGCGGCCGTCGCGGGCTCGAACGAGTCGGAGCGGCGGCGCTTTGCCGACGAGCGGACGGGGCGGATGGACCTGGCCGAGTACGACAAGTACCACGCCCGCCGGCGCGCCTCCGGCCTCGGCACCGGCGCCTTCCAGCGCTGGTGCTGCGGCCGGTGGGGCCTCGGCGGCGGAGGGGGCAGAGTGAGCAAGGCCTTCTCGCTGCTGGGCTGGCTGGCGAGGATGCGCGCGGCGGAGGTGGTGGAGGAGGCGAATCGCGCGGCGCACGGCGGCGCGCTGACTGAGGTGGGCGAGGGCGCGCCGCTCTCGCGCGAGCGGTACGCCGCAGCGGCGCGCGCAGCGTCAGAGCTGGGCGTGGGGAGGGACGACAACCCGAGCGGGGCCGCGGCGCGGTCGGCGGTCAGGGTGGGCGAGGATGATGGAGGAGCTCAAGGAGGGCCGCGCCCGTTGTGAGCATTTTGAAGTAAATAGCCGCTGATAGAAGAGCAGAGGCCCTGCGCACTCCGGGCGCAGGTGAAACTCTCTGTGACCGAACGGCCGCAAAACCGGACCACTCTCCGGACTCCGCGCGGCACCGCGCGTCTCCCGCGACGTCAATTACTCTTATTCCCGAAACCTGCGTTCCCGAACCCCTCAAGGGATGACTCAAGCTCTCTCAGAGGACAGAGCTCTGTAAATAAATAAAAACGGAGACTTTTACTAGGAGATGGGAAAAAAGGAACGGGTCCCCGGGGCCCGTGGCCGTGCGATCGTTGTGCAGGGTCTTTTTGTCAAGCTCTCCGAGCTCACAGCTGTCCTTGTGGCACAGTCTCCTCTCAGATTCTGCAGATTCACATCACCACACAGGGAACGATGATTCTCTGCGCCTGCGAGTGCGAGCCGATGCAGCAGATGCAGCAGCCGGTGCCGTACTGCCGCGTGCTCGCCGGTGCCTCGTCCTCCGGCGCCTCGTCGCTGGGGTCCTGCCCCGCGTCATCATAGCAGGCCTCGAGCAGCG